CACCCTGTCGCTGCAGGATAGGACGAATATTAAAACAATGACATTCGCCCGTTTCGAAGTATAATTTGATCAAAAGCAACTGTTGCTGTTGTTTCATTTATCATTATAAAGTAACCTTGGGAGAGAGAGATTGCCGTTATAAATTTTGCAAATTAAATTGTTGTCAAAGGATTTATCTGTCACATTGTTCGAAATTAAAAGGGTTAATTTGTGAACGTAATGCGTTTTGCGGGCTCACTTTGAAGTTCATACAACAGCTGCATTAAAATTAATCAATATCGAGGTTATTAGTATTTTCTGTTGCTTGATAAACAGAAATTAGCAACATCGCATATTGTGTTTATTTTTTTGTAGTTTTCACTTTTGCGCTACTAGAAAGTTATTGCACTGAAATGCATAAATATTACGTAGAGAACCCTCGTTCAAAGTGGCGTAAATTACTAAACCATTGAGTATCTTATGAATTATGGCTAGACACGGAACCTACATCAATTTGTAATGAAAATTTTACATGTTTCCGTCAAATTTTATGGGAGAACTCTAATTTTATCATTTATGATTAAGCAAATTAGTGAACAACTCGTTTGCCAAACATTACAATTTTACTATTGTGTGTATGTTTTTTTTTAAACTAGTAGCATTATTTATTCATTTATAAAAATTAATAATAAATAATTTATTGTATTGTATATGAATAGCAGAAAAGCCGTCGGTCCATCAGCGTGGTTCTTAGAACCGACAACACTGTAGCGTTTTGAGTTTTTGACTCTTATCTGCTTGTACACTCGCTGCTTATCAGAAAGCTCTTCATTCACTCGCATTTTAGTTCTGTTCTCTATCACTATAGAGCGGTACGCGTATAAAATTTCCTATACTGGCAAATTTATAAATTAAAACCAATTCTTCCTAAGCCTAAAGCGACCCACATGTTACAACTCTTACTCTACGACGGTTTCAAAAAACGTACTTAGTGCTAAACTGACAGTAGCGCATTTTCCTTTTGCATGCTGAAAGTTTTTGTTAATGTTGAATCTTAGCCGAGGGCATACGTAATAGTTACTTTTCTTGAAAGTGAAATAACTTTCAACTTTGCGGTTCGCATTTAAAATACTTCACTTTCAACTGAAATTTTAGGGCTGCCCAAATCTAAGATTGGACATTTAAGATTAATATTATGTTTTGTGTCATTTGATAGTCACTTGTGTTGACGGGCGTACAGTTGCGTGAAAATTATTAGTGATAGCATATTCAAATGATGTCCTTACCAGAACAAGTCCTCTAAGGGTACGGGCCTCCGCTAACAACTTGACGCTAACCAAGATGCCGCCGTGGCATCCATTGAACTTAATGTAACCGTCGGTTCTCAAGATATCTGCACCAAAGCAGGTCTGTAATGAGAGAAGTGGGGTTCCACGTTTTTTTAGGTTGGTATTAGCAATTTGAAAATGAAAGTCAAATTAAGTAAGGCATTTCCGCTGTTACGTGCACTTTGAGAATGCGCAACAAATTTACCTTTAGTTAAGCACGGTAAGCTCAGGCAAAGTAGAAATTGGTCGGGGTGATTAAGGGATTCTCTTCTACAACTAGTCAACAAAGCAGAAGTAAATACGTAAACCAGACAGGCATCACTTAGTCATATAGAACATTTAACAAGAAAGAAAATACTCACTGAGGGAGAACAGAGTAGACTAACAGATCCTTGATAAAGATAAATGGTGAAAAAAGTTGAGATGGTAACACTTAACTAAAATTATAGTCATACAACTGGTCAAATTGGATGTCAATTTAATACAACAAAAAATTAAATCTTTCAAAATATATTTAAACTGCAGGGTGGTGTTGATTCTCTAGGTTGAAATGAGAGGCATATGAGAGGCAAGTGAAAATTGACGTGCTGTCAACTAAATTTGCGGTTTACGCATTTGAAACGGCAATCAGGACATCCTGTGTGTAAAATGTTTCAATTGATTTAATAGAGGCTTGGTTCAAAAAGACAATTTCCTAAATTGTTATTGTAATGTTATTTTTTGTTTTTAATTGTTAATTTAGCAATTATTTAAGTATTTTATTTTGTTGTACTTAGTATAATATATTTTAGAAAGCATAATTCAGGGAATATAAATCGTAATTTCGACGTAAGATAAAAGACTTATTTGGCTAGATGTTTTGTATAAACGTTATCGGACAAATTAATTGGATTTATTTACTAACAACGCCATGTGCGAAATTTGTTGCACCAAAGCTTGCAATATATTAATATTATATATAGTCAACTTTTTTATTTACTCCTACTGTACAATGGAAATTATATTTATGAATTTAACAAAAGGTTACAACATTAACATATTGCAAATAAAATTGTTAAAAAAAACTGTATACTTAAAATATCAAAAATTTCATTAAATGCTGTCTGTGGCGGTAGAGTGCCTAAAATACAAGCTGCATTTCTCTACTGAACAGCTAAACTGAATGTTTGTTTTAAAAATACAAAACAACGATTTTCTTGTGTTTTTTCAAAAATTTTTTTACTAATTTCTGAAGTGATTTTTTTGGCAGATGGGCCCCAAGCGCCAAGTGTTTCTATACCGAAAGGGTAGAAAATAAAATGGTCTAGTAGATTACTACAGTTACTACTGTACTAGTCTTACGTAAAAAAAAGTATAGAACCATTTTTGTAGTAGGGTTTGTTATCTTTAAGTTTTGCCTCAAGAACTTTTCGCTACGAATAACAGTTACTGAGATGCAAGCGAGAAACTCAAAAAGGCCCCTATAAAAGCCCCCTCCCCCACCTTCCTCGAACTCGCCTCCCGATTAATAAATACTTTTTATTTTCTCGCAGAGGTTGGTACCCATATGAAATATAGGTTCCGGTTCCTCACTATGTAGGTAAAATTATTTTTTAAGGGTTCCGGTACAGGTTCCTGCTTCTGTGGCTTCGATAATTTTCGGTTCCGGTTCCATTATTTTTTGGGTTTTTAAGTAAATAAATAAAATCATTATTAAAAGATATAAATTATTATTAATTATATAAAATAAATAATTCACAAAATTAAAATATATTGTTCTTTTGCATAAACATATTATTTAAGTCTAATTGAAACTTATTTTTAGTTTACCTCTTTTCTACTTTTCCTTTTCTTCAGGAGTAGTTTCAACTATTGCTTCCCTAGCTCCTAAACTCTTCAACCATTGTACTGTTTTTGATCCATTTTCGGTATTGGTCACCCTAAAATATTTTTACTTATTTAATATTAAGGTTAAGTCGATTGAAATTAGTGAGAAACTGAATAAAAGTGAAAAATTGGATTTGGACCAACACTTCAGAAGCATATTTTAAGAGTCACACGTGTCTACTCTACCTACAAGCGCTGAGTGAAATTGTATTGAACGCTACAGAGAGAACCGAAAAATAACTGTTCTTTTGCACTAATAATAACGGTACACACTCACTCACTCAGACGGAAGAGAATAGAACCCACAATTTGTATGTATCAACACTAGGTTCAGCGGTAAGCGGAAATTTGGGGCGAGGCGAAGCTTTTAACTTAAATGATAAGATGTAGTCACATCTTTTCGGCACGCAACAAGTACCACATTGTAATTTTTTTGTCTTTTAATTCCCCACAGTGGAAGATTACCTATGCTGATTTACCTCTCGAAAATCTAGATATAGAAATTGTTTTCTACCAATAAAGCTCTAGATTTCTATTCTGAAATACCTATGGAAGTAAACGTGACTGTGAAAACAACGAGTTTTTGTTTCCCTTGCGAAAGATCTTTGCATCTGAAAAATAAATACTTTGTTTTTAATGTTAAAATGTTCAGATCGTCATCGACTAACCAGTTTGCAATTAGTTTGAAGTTTGGAAAAACGATTTCGTAATTAAAATTAACTACACTTTGAAGTTACAGGTACTAATATCAATTACACCGCCGTCTAATGAAATTGCTTATTATTATTTTAGAAGTTTGTTCATTAAGTTCGTACTTAGGGGAAGTCAAGAACAAAATAATGTAACAGTTTCGCTCTATTAAGACGGGCGGCGATTGATCATTGAAGTGGCTCTGATGAATCGGAAACTGAAATTATTGCTTTGCAAGTGAACATTAAAATTGAGAAGAAGTAAGGGCAGTAATGAAGTTAAACACAATAGTGATATTCTCCGATAAAAGCCATTTTATCGTCTCATGTTCCATTTTTCCTTGTGTAGCAGTTAAGAATGCAGTCCATAAATTAGGAAGAGCTTTTGGGACGTTCATATATTCTTCATGTGCTTTACGCTTGAAACAACAATATTAGGTCAAACTCATTTTTAAATACGATGATAAAGATGTTTATGGCCTAAAACTAACGAGTTTTAAAGAAGTTAAAACTTTTAAAGTATTTTATAAGCAACACGCTCCCACGAATATTAATTCTCCCTAGTTAACCATTACAGTATGACGAACCGGAAAATGTGATTCCTAGGGCATATTTATTATATCAGAAATATTCTCCACTAGAAATCGATAAAAGTAATAATGGAATATATGCACATGTTTCAGTCCATCACACTGACTTTTCATAGAATATTCAATAAGCGCATTCGAAACGAAGTGATTTTAGAAAGATTGATGTGATCTGTATTATGTAAAAGGAACTACCGTTGGTGAAATTGTATATTGAAACTTTTTTACTCAAAAAAAGTTTACCTATTTGACTCGTTAGTACGATTCTAGTAGATTTGAAAGCAATATTGATAAAACTATTAACTTACTTCCGTTAAATTAAATTCGTAACCGTTTACGAACTAATGGTTATATAAACATCATTTAGCACACAAACTGACGCTATTAATTTATATTTAACTTGCGCCGTTTCCAGGATTTCATTAATCTACTCGGCTTTCGGTCTGTTATTTAAAGTTTCAAATATACCTCAAGCATTATTTCACTTTTTATGTGAGACCGCAGTATAAGACACATTATAAATATTTTAACCTTTTATTTTCTACTTTCAGATTCAACTTTATGGTTTTAATAAAGACTTATATCACAATATGTCCGAAGCGCAGCATAAAACGCAAGGAATTGTGGGCATTTCGCTTATGGTACAGGTAAGATCTTCCATGTTTTAAACTGTTAGTCATTCTTAGTCGTGGGAAAATATGGTTTAATAATAATGCACGATAATCAATATGAAAGAACTTTACGGTGTGACAAATTGCTAAAATATATTTCTTTTCCACTCCTTGGGGACTCTCTTTCTTTCACATATTGTTTTATTGCATCTGTTAAAAATCATCCTTTTTTATGTAGGGATTATACGTACAGCTCTGGGCATCTGCTTATAGATAACGTGATAGTGAGTGGCTCAAAAAGTGGCAGATGATATTGTTTTTTCTTACGAGTAACTAACTCCTAACATTTTCAGATTTGTACCAATTCTTATAGCTTATAATAAACTCAAGAAATGGAGAGAGTGAAATGTAATTAAATACGTTAATTACAAAAACAATCAAATCCAAATTGAAATTAGGGTTGCCGTCTCTTAATTACACGGGAATAGCTCTAGGGACTGCACTGGTTACAAGGAAGGAAAAATGAGCTAAAAACTTATAGTTTATGTGATGTTTAATGAATGATATTAAAAATATTACAAATAGTAGACTGTAATATATAGATCTGAAATGTTAACATTTAAATTTAAATTAATTCTTAGTAGAAAAGGGGATCAACACGTAGTCAGACTAAATATTAATATCAAAACAGGCTTCCGCAGAAAACAACGGGGATATAATCGTTAAGTGAATATCAAGCAGATGTAACAATTACAATTCGATTGTATAGAAAACCAGTATGTAATCGAACGTTATCTCAAGGAGTCGACGAAATAAAAAATTACCTTTTGAACTATAGGTCGCAACGGTCTTGTTGTACGTTATGTACGTTTAATAAAATCTCGGTATAGTAGAGGGTTTTCCAGTAGCCCCCGGACGGAGCTATAAGTTTCAAACGCGTGAAAAATATTTTTGGAAACTTTGATACACTGAGTTTTTTTAGGGGGTGATAACCCAAAAACCGGCCCAAAAATTTTCAAATTGCAAAACCTGTCGAGTTTTACCTTTTTGAAAATCACCCCCTAATAAAAATCCCCAGTGTATAATGACAGCTTTAAACTATCTAAAATGAAGTTTTTATGACACTTTATTGATCCCGAAATTTTCAGATTTTTTTCTTCACTCGTGTAAAACCAATAGGAAAGGAAATTAATATATTTGTGAAAGTTAAGCGCACTTCTAATGAAACTCACGACTTAATCGGATGTTGTTAACTGCAACTCATAGGCGAGATGAAATTTATAAATTCATACTTCTCTTAACCCCGTTGGTAAAGTCTCTTATTAGTGTACACTGTTAGTTGAAAATTTTGGTAAAAAGTTTCAGTATGTGACACCAGGATGAGATTTTTTCTCCGTTTCCTCATGAAAGTACCTTGAAATTGACACCGGGAGACACTCCCAGACGTGATTGTCGCCCGTAATGACGTCATAATTCTGGAACTGTTGCCGTCACCTTTGTTTCGTTATCTCAGGAACCGCTGCTCGGATTCTCATTATCGAAGCATCGTTGTATCGGTAATTAAATTATCTCAATAGTTTATAAGAGAAGCTTTTGTCGAAAAGTGCATGGTTTACAAGATATCGGATTTCTAACGGGAATCTGTGAACAAGTGCTCCATTTGTTGTTCTCCGTGCTATATTAAATTGCCGGTTCTACGGAATCCACGCAGGTTAAATACTGGTACATCGTAATGCAATTGGAACCGCATCTACTGCTGTATATTAGAAGTAACAAGCACATTTCCTCAAACTTGTGAGCACATTGCGGGCATGACCTTGCCGTTTTAATGCTCGTTTTCATATACCATTGGAAACTAAAACCTGCTAATAATGACTTAATGGAACTGAAATTCTGAAATATTAATTCGCCTCGTCTTAATGACAAGAGCTTTCGGACGCAACGAAGATAATTAAAATATCTTGACGGGAACGGTTACAAACGGCAAATTAATTATAGCTTTTGTTTACAGTAGCAGCGGCTAAAACACAACTCTGAAATTAAATCAATTACTTTTAACTTCTATCTTCAAGTCCTAGAACTAACAAATACTTTCGACGCGACACTTTTCGTAACGAAGTGCCTCCAGATACCGGGTGGTCATAAAAGTATGTATACTTCAAGGTAGAAAATAGGTGCTTCGTTACAATGGAATAGAGCGAGAGGGAGAGCAAATTCATTTTTTATATTGGTACTTTCATTTTTTATTTTCAAAAGACCTCGTCATTCTGAAAAATACAGATATCACCAAAAAAAATTGATTTTAATGTGTGTTCGTATCAGGTATTTTTTTTCGTTAATCTGTAATCAAAATATTGCTTTTTTTGCATTTAAAAACGTGAAAATGAAAGAACGGTCTTTGATTGGCCCAATAGGCCGCTATATCATTATTATTTATAGAAAGCGTTTGGTTTTTTTTTATGACAATCTAATTCTCTCTTACTTTTTACTATTTACTAGTTTAACTAGACAAATATGACGCGCCTTATTTTCAAGTATATGTGCAGCAGCCCTATCAGACGCTCGACAGAACGAAAGTTGAATATATACATATACATCTGACGTAGGACGTAGGTATATAACGGCGAACAAAAAAGCGGCATAAAAGTATCCGCACGATATGCTAAAGAATTAAGGTAGCAAAAAAGGTAGATAAAGGAGGTAAGCGAAAAGAAGAAATAAAGGAAAAACTCAAGGCAATTTACAAACCAATAAGATGATGAACAGTACCTCAAGAAAATTCCTAATATAATAAATATAATATAATAGAATGGCAAAACTAAACCAAAAAAAAATAAATAATAATTTCTGAAAACATCTTTGAAGCTTTTAGGGTATAGTTTTCACGATCTCTAACGGTTGCTCGCTTTGCAGTTTAAATTACATATGTACCGCTTCATACGGAGCGTGAGCGCGAGTAGGTGCAGCGACCAACGTGCGCGTTTCAAAGAAAGCTTGGGTCAATGCCACGATAACCGAGACCTCTTCAATTTCCTTGGTTCTATTGACCTAATGGAGGCGGGTGTAGGGCGGTAAATTTGTGCTCTCGAATTGGAAAAAATGGCCTTGGTCACAACTATTTCGTTGGTTCCGTTTCAGAGCTATTACTCGGCATTTTCGCATGGAACATTTATGAACCGTCTTTGGATCTGAATTGGAGTGTGGCCGAGGTAAATAAATGTTCATTGTCCCAAAAACTGTCTATACATTATACGAGAGCAAATCACAAAAGTTCAACTGTATTCGCCAGATCCAGTTTGCGTTTCTTATGTAGGAAACTAAAAGTCGTTTTTTGTAAAGTGACATACATTTCACGTAACATAGAAAAATGTTTGTCAATACAGTACTAAGGAATCAATGTTATTTAGTACGAACGATGGTTTTCCACCCTTGTCTTCTAACTTGCCGTTACAAATCGGAGATTCGTTATAGCATAATGTTTATGCCAACTGTTTGCTTTAAAGCCCTATACAGGGATATTTATTAAGAAGTAGACATTGTGTATTGTTTTTCCCTATGTGCACTTTTAAATGACAAAACCTCTTCTGAAGGGCGCCTAATTTTATGCATCCAAAATAACTTCTTTAAACAAATGAAGCTCTGGCTGCCATATTAATTACTTTGAATATTGTTGTTTTGGCTTCTGTATCTTTATTTGACGTGTGGGAAGACAAAGTTGATATTGCCCTTCAGAAGAGATTTTGTCTATTAAAAGTATACATAGGAAAAAACAATACACCTACATCCCCATGCCTTTCTTAATAAATATAACGAGGATACACTTCATTTAAAAGGACAATAATAATTGGAAAATCTTGGTCTATCCAATTGGATCAATATTCTCGTGACAATGGGGAATGGCTGAATTATCAGTGCCTAACGTTTTATATATCGTCTTCAAAATGCAAAGACTCGTCAATAGTGCCGTTTTGTTTTGGTTAGTTAAAATAATTTTTTTTTTGTTTAAATTGAATATCACCAACTGTAAGATCACCGATAGTATTGTCTCCTCTACTTTCATCAGCAGACGTTGATACAAATAAGGACAACAGCGCGCAAAAATGTAAATTAGCATGTGAAAGCAACGTGACTTGCTTCCTATAAAACGCTCTACTTTTATCTTACGCAAGCATACACGTTCTGTAAAGGACCTTTAGACAGCATTGTCTTTAAGGGAACATTTCGGCTTTCAAATCAAGAAAGGCAGAATAACGTTAAATGTTGAAAATGCCAAATTTAATCTACCTATCAATTCGTTCCCCAGAAATCTAATAAAGCGCGCTTTTTGCGCACGTCATCAGGTGGGTAATACGTTTATGCCTATCAACGATTAGGTCACAAAGCTTCGTTTGCAAGACGCAAACCCCATAAAGTTTTTTAGTGCATTTATCAATGTTTGGATTGAAAAAGAGATTAGTTCTCTAGAGCTGTTGCACTTTGCATACTTGCACGAACTTTTCCCATTATTAATATTGCAGCACGCGCATTTCCCTCGGTAGATTTAACGCCATGCATTTTTATTAGACGTTTTTAATGGAAGGGAAATTGATAAACCTCAATCTTAAGAATATAATGGGGGTTAATATTTGCATATTTTGATATTATTTGCACTACTAAAACAAGTAAATAAATCAACTCGTAACAAATAGCGCAAATGAGCTCATGCGTCAGTGAAAATTTAATCAGTTCTTCCTTAAGTGATGATAAACACAATACTGAAATTAGAATTGGAAAAATCCGAACCGTTGGCGAGTTATCATGTGCACAGACGGACGGAGAGAGAGTCCAAAATCATGAACGAGCCGGATCGCTCAATAATAAATAGACGGTTTAAGTTCTTGGGGCGCAATTGTCTAAGCTTCATTAACAATAGTGACGTCCCCATTATGAAAAACATTTTGAAGGCACAACTGTCCCTCTTAATTACCCTGGACGCAATTGACCTGAGCGCAAGTGTCCATGATTGAATAATCGCTACCGACATTAAAAAAAGTAGC